GTGGACAGCAAACATCGAGAGAATCTGAATCTCATGCTCGATGCCATCATACGTACAAGGCCGCCTTGCCAGGGCAAACTCGACGGTCTACTAGTCAACTAGTTTTACTACGCGAGTCAGAGGGCTGAGCAGGATGCCCTCGACGGATATAGATCATGATATAGATCATGCACTCGAATCGACCGAAGGCAGGATAGCTAGTTTCGAGCAAACATCTGGAAGCTCCGAGTCGGTTTTATCAGAATACGAGAGTCGCTAAAAGGAGGCTCAGGAAACGTTGGTGCCTGCATGTCCAACCAACGCTGGTGCTTTTGATACACGCTGCCGTTTATTTGATGATAGTAGCACACATATTCAAACTCCTGTCTTCTCCTTGCCGAAGACAACTGCCTTGCATCCATGGAAAGCCCACTGTGAACCACCCATAGTCTGCACATTCTCCATCCCATGTGCCTGATGTTCACTTCTAATATACATCACATGGTCCATTCGGCCCCAGATGGTGATGAAATCCGACCCAGCCCATCCGTGACAAAGAGGTACATCCTACAGTTACATAACTAGTGCACGTAGCAGTGTAGCATGGAAGCATGTAGGCCAGCCCTCGCTGTACACAGATTCATAAGCCATCGTCGTAATTCAGCCATCACCATCGTCATCGTCATCGTCGGGTCAGCGGTGCATAGCCAAGTCAAACTTTTATCGAATCATCGTCCCTTAAACGAAGGCTTCCGCTTCTCGGCAAACGCCTTCAGAGCCTCAAACCGATCTTCCGTCTCCACGACACCAAGATACGCCTCGTTCTCTGCCTCTGCGCCTCTTTCGAATCCATCAACCGCCTTCAGAGCCTGGCCAAGCGCAATCGGTCCGCCTTCACAAATCTCCTGCGCCAGCCTGATGCTTTCGCGTAGAACCTTCTCTCGTGCTTCTCCCGGCTTCCCTGCCTCCTCGGGCGTCACCTCCACCAGCCTGTTGCAGAGGCCCAGGAAGTAGGCTTCAGGGCCGCTGACCCGCCGTCCCGTCAGGATCATGTCCAGCGCGTGGTTCTTCCCGATAAGTCGTGGCAGTCGGTACGTGCCTCCTGCGCCAGGAATAATGGCAAGGCGAGTCTCGGGCAGTCCAACAACACTGGTGCTTCCAAAGACTCGTAGCTTAGTGCACAGTGCCAGCTCCAGTCCGCCTCCCAGCGCCATTGAAGAAATGGCTGAGATGGTTGGGATCGGAAGCTCGTCTAGGTTGGCGAACGTCTGCCGCAGCTGAGCCAGGAACGCCTCGGTACTATCCCGTAGTCAGCCGGTGGCTCTAATTCACGGAAGACGAGTTGTACTATAAAGTAAATGAAGCTATAACTCACTCCTGCTTGGTGAAGGTGGCTCGCTCTTTCAAGTCTGCTCCGGCGCAGAACGAGGCATCGACATTGCTCGCCACGACCAGCGCTCTCGTCGGCCCCTTGCCCTGTTCCGCCTTGATGTCATCCAGGTGCTTGCCCAGGCTGTTCAGCAGCTGCCGTGAGATCGCATTGCGGGCCTTGGGCCGGTTCAGAAGCAGGACTCTGATATGGCCGGCGCCTGGTGCCGGAATCTGCTGCACATTGATCACTTCGCCGTTCGCGCTGGTGCCGAGCGTTGCATTTCGGCGGATCTGGACGACGGGGAACTGGCGGAGGCTGGTCGGCCGGAATACTCGAACAGCAGCCATTGTACGTTGACGTTAGATGTTACTGGGGAGAGAGGCTGATGTGGATGTTGATGGAGTGACGTTGTGTTTATTCTTCGGCTGTTTGTATTTATGTTCATTTTTTTCTTATTACTTTCGGCCGCTTGGCCCGACGCCGAAGACTAAGTGTTATTCGAGTGTTATCGGTATTATTCGTGATGTTGATACTAATACTGCTGCATTGGATACTGATACATGAATGAAGTCTACTCTTCGTCGTGGTGGTAGTTATACAGCATCTCGTGCTGGATATAAGCATCAACCTCTTCATCCGATGGCCACGGAGCCATGGCCTCAGTCCCGTCCACGAGGCGTTGAGCCTCCTGGGTGAGAGGATGAGTTTGCCAATGGGCTTGCGGATAGCCTCCGCTGTCATCTCTCGAGCCCGCCAGGTCGTTTTCAAGAAAAGCCCTGCAGGCAACTATCGCCCGGCGAAGCATTCTGCGACCCCCACGCCGCTCGTTGGTCACCCGCCTGAGTTCATGGGCTTCCGCCTGGAGAACACGGAGGATAGCCACGATGGTTTGTCGGTCTCTGCCACGCCCGAATGCCCGGATAAGCGAGTGGAGAATGGAGGGAGATGGCATTACCACCCCGTTAGAGAGTGTGGCATTGTCAACTGACGGAACTCTGGTAGGTTGCTGTCCCCGGTGCAGTGGGAGAAATCGGTTAATTTGGCATCTCAGCTGTGAGAGGCCATGCTCTACCATTTCATCTGGAGTTTGTGTTGTCAAAGGCCGGTCCAGTGTTGCATGGGAAGGCCCTAGAGATAGGATATGGGACATTGCTCTTCCCCCTGCCTTGACAGCATTGGGGTGGAGATGGAGGGTTTGCAGCAGGCCTGCAAATCCATTACACATGAGCTGAATACACCTTAGGTCTAGCGCTATGGAGTTGGCCTTCATGTATTCAACCAGTCTTAGCGTCTCTTCCCAAGCAAAGACTCGGTTCACTCCTGGAGCGAGTCCGAGCCTGTGAAAATTGTGAAACGGCCGACTGCCGATAGCCACAGCCTTGAGAAGGTTATGCCAGGCAGACATGTATCGGGGTCTCCGTTGCTCCATGAGAAAAACAGCATGAGCAAGGGCACGGCCTTGGTTGGGCTCCAAGTCCGAATATCGTGGCAAGATAATCGGGAACATGGCATTCAGAGCTTCTATCCGGTCTGCAATCCGATTCACGGTACTGTGTGAAGCACACCTACATAGGAACCGGATGACAGCAGAAAAGGTGGCATCGTGGATGGAGCTCAGCACCCCAAGCCTTTCTTTGCCTTGCTGGGAGGAAGGGCTAAACAATGCATAAATCTGATCCTTACTAAGGTTACTGTGATTGATATAATCCAGTCCCTGCTTTAAGGAGGAAGTATGTCGAAGGATCAAGACAAGCACTTTATCCGGTAGTGGAAAATCCCGTGAAAACGTCTGTTGTAAAAACTCAGGTAGACTCGGTGGCTCAGAAGGTACATATATAAGATCGCGCGGTGAAGTTGGCTCGGGATGCACTTCTTTACCACCATCAGATGGAGTAAAAGTAGACACTTGAGATCCAAACTGCTCCAGTTGCTTGATTTGCCCGCGGGTTCTCTCTGACGCGATAAGTTTTTCCACTATTTCATGGATGATCTGTTCGGTGAGACAAATATTCTGCTGCTGAGAAGAGACGTAGCATGCCCAGGCTTCTCGGAGCGTTCTAGTTGCGCGAATGCGGGCAGCCCAGACAAGTGGTTCTGAGGGAGATTGGTTCTCTTCTGAAAGCTGCCAACTTGAATCTGGAAGTCTGGTTCTCTTTTGAATTGTCGGTGTTCCGTCTGTGTCCCAACCGGCTACAACAGACGCCGCTCTATCCCATTCAGCAAAGCGATAGCCGGCCTGCTGCATATGAGCCATAGACTCCATTGCCTTGCTTTTGCTTCCCTCAGTCTTTTCAGCGTCGATTCCGAGCCTGTCTTCCTTCCACGGAGGCCAGGAAACTGCTTTGAAGCTATCCCACTGTCTTTCTGCTTTCGTCATTTTGGAGGCAAGCAGAATCTGCGTAATCGCCTGATAACTCGCCTTGTTGACTGGGAGGGGTGGGTTGTAAGTTTCCATCTCTCGTAGTATGTGGAATACGGCCCTTTGCTGTAATTTAGCCGAATGATACGGTTCTACTCGGCACCACCCTGCCAAACGTTGGATAAATTTGCTGTAAAGCTCTGTTATTCGGCGCGCCTTTTTAGGACCAAGTTTATCCAGGTCCTTGGTTGATGTTAGACGAGCAAACGAAGTTGTGAACATTTCCGCTATGTTGATCAGAGCCCTGGGAGCAACATTGCGTGCCAAGTTGGCTAGTCGAACAAGGATGGTCATCGCCAGAGCAGAGTCTCCCTTTACATTCTGCACTGGTGTCGAGGAGGTATCAGGCCCTGGATCTTTGGGTGTAGATGAGAGATCATCCTGAACCATGGAATTCAATAGCCTTCGACATTGCTCTAAGAGGAGTTTGAAACTGGGTTCGTCGATATCAACCCGCCGCAGGAGGAACATAAGAACAAACACGGGTACTGCAGCCTCCACTGTCAACCTATGGTACCGCATGGCAGCCAGATATGCATCTGGTGTAGCCAGTACCCATGCCCAGGCCATCACATCGCCCGCAGAATACCCTCTCTTGGACAAATATGCCAATGCATCATCGTCAAACACCGTGAGAAGAGCCTTATCTAAATCACTCCCTCTAGTCACATCTGTCCTTAGCAATGGGTATATCTGATGCAGATATCTTGCAACCAGGAGCGAATATTCAATGCGTACAGAACAGGTCGCATTTAAGTTAGCCTCCAGTTTTGAAATTATTTTCTCCTTTTCCGCAGACTTCTCAGTCAGGCTTGATAGTAGACCTCTATCACCAGCTGAAGTATAGGTCCCCGCCTGAATCCGGTGTAGAGCCAAAAGGAGAACTTTGGGGGACGGTGGATAGACCTCAGGTGGCTTCGTCTCCGCTGGAAGGGTCGGAAGCTCAGGAGAAGGATAGACTGTGTGCGCAATCCCAGAAACACCAGGCTGATGGGCAGTGCATAGCGTCTGAGTTAGGGTAGCCGGCTAAACGGCATCTTGTCAGCGGAGTTATCCCGTAACGAAAAAAGCATATAACAGAAAACGCACCTTGACATGCTGCAGCACAGGTGTCTGAAAAAGACACGGGGATATCAATGATACTGCAAGTCTTTGGCAGGCATACCGGCGGAGAGAGGACATATAACAGCTCCTCTGGGGATGGGTCCGTAGCTTTAATTGGGAGAGAAGTCAGCAGCCTGTCTGCAAAAACATGTTACATCGAAGGCACCAGACACGGTAGTCGGCAAGACGTTAAATCGCCGTCAAGGGATGTCTGGATCAATATCAAAATCGAATGTTGCCGTCGAATTCGAATATCAAAAAATAAAAACCTTCGCGATGTTCTTCCCGCCTTGGAGGACGTCCTGCTGAGTCATCACATCACGTGATTACTCCCCAAAGAAGGAATTTGGGATCGCGAAGTTTGAAAAAAAGAAGACGCAGAAAGCAGTTTTGGCGGCATTTCGTTTCGTCTCAGCAGCATCTCTGAGACTCCTGGCCGACAGCGGGATTGTTCGAGCGACCTAGGGACGGCGGAGACGACGGACGAGCTGCATGGTGGTTCTGCCTGCACCCCGAACGACTTCCTGGACGCGCTTCTAGTTTTCCTTTTGGTGGCGGACTGCTTGCTTTCCTACCGGTAGGCCGTTCTGCATCATCGCCCGTCTCCGTCCTGCTGCTGAAGCTAACTGCGCGACAGGGTAGCAAGAGCTGTCTGTCGCTGTCCTCTACTCGGATTCAGGCCCAGTTGGTTGTGAGCTCGAAGAAAAAAAAGCCTTCAAGCGTAAGGCCTGGAGGGGGTTTTATCCGGACTGCTTTTCCTGGCGTTTTCTCGCTATCAGCCTTCTCGATTCATGCAGGAAGCGCCTCTCTCGCAATTGGAGAAAACGTCGACCGCGCGTGATTTAGCTGTGCTCTCACTTTCGGCTCGCATAGTGGATGATATATTGAGGTGGAATAAAAAGAAACGCTGACGAAGAAACTGTCGAAATGAATGGGAACCCAGTCCAAAGCCCTGGGGCGTCGTCAGTCACTCCGGCACCCTCGAAGCGAAAACGCGAAACAACAGCAGAAGGAGACGCAGACGGGACTGCATCTACGTCTGGAAGCGGCGAATCTGCGTTTCCCGATACTCTCAAAGATCTTCTCGTGGTTCTGTCAAAGTAAGATGTTGACCATCCTGCGGCCTCTCACACTTTTACCTTTTATTCTAGTCGCATTTCTAACATACATATTCTAGACATGACTCTGATCTTGGGATTTTAAGTCGTCCACTTGCCCATGTACCCACCGGAGAGCCTGAAAACAAGCGAGTAAAACGATCCAAGACGGCTGTCGAACAACAATCCGTCCAGTATCGAATTGAAAAGTCATACTACAATTCCCTTGAACCTTTTCTTCATGATGTCGAACAGTCTATCAACTCGTTTGTCGCAGAGTCTCGACACGATAGCAAGACTCGTCGGTCAACTACACAGGCCTCGCCCAATGAGTCCTCCAGTCGTGCAAACGCTTTCAGAAAGGAGCTAAATAGGCTGGTCCTGAAAAATTTTCCCCAAACATCGCTATCTACCACTTCGATCAAACCAGCAAAGGTTGAGGACTCGCCTGAACTACTGGCCGGCAATTCTCGTAACGATCGGCTGGCTTTGGCTCTCGTGGATAATACTCCTCATGGAAGACAGATATTCTCGAGTGTGCAGAAATCCGATTTACCTATCAATGAAACCGCGCTTCCAAAGGGGATAATAGTTACTAAGATTGTTCCCTTCAATCCTTCTCACATGGATGAATCGCGGGCCCGAACAAGGACAATCGGGGAGGTATTTGCACCACGGCCAAATCTCCCTGTTCTAGAACGGCCTCAGAAACGCCCTGCAGAAAGTGGTTCAACCGTCGTTGAATGGCTAGATCCCCTCGAAGCCGTTTCATCGTTACCTAGCAAGCTTTTGGGGAGAAAAGCTTACAGCCAAATATCCCTACCATCCGGTTCCTGGTTAAACTATGGCTATGAGAATCCCCTACTATCGGATAATGCTCGCCGCGTGCCAAGACAGGAAGCCATCGAGAAGGAGAAATTCTCAAAAGAAGACAAATCTCTCTTTCATGCAATCTACTCTTCATTCGCCCCGTCCTTTGATAGCTCAGGCGCAGTCGCTCCTCGGGCTGCCAAATATCAAGCTTGGTGGGAGAAGTCAGGAGCTCGTCGCATGAATGTTCTGTTTAGCTCCGAGCACAACGACGAAGACTCTCCAGCGTCCCCAAAATCCCGTCCAACTCTGGATCAAGTGTTGGACCCCCAATTGTTGGATGAGGAAACCTTATCTGAAGCTGTCCAATCCTTCAAGCCAGATACAACGTATGTGGATAAAGCAACAGACTCTAAAGAAGCTGAGAGCGACAAGGATAAGGAGAAGAAGGCCCAGGGCGATATTGGAGAAATATTGGATGATATATCAGATCTGCTACAGACATTAAACTCGTACCGCCAACTCCGAAACCTCTCGCAGCAGTCACCGGATAATAGAGCGACCGACCAAAGCAATGGGACATTACCAAACCAAGACTCAACGTCCACTCCGTCCGATGCAGAGTACAGCATATACGAAACATTAAAGTCTAGCTTGTCGGCTCTGGTGTCTACTTTGCCTCCATACGCAGTGTCGAAGTTGACGGGAGAGCAACTCGCAGAATTGAACCTGAGCAAGAAGATTCTCCTTGACGGCGCCGATTACCCAGGTACCCTGGATGATGATGACTTTACCAAGCAACAAAAACAGGCTGCGCAAATCCAACAAAATCTGGTAAATTCTCGAGGCCATGCCCATGGTCAGGCCCCCCAGGGCCGACCAGCTGCCTACCAGACCCCGGCAGCGCCGGCACCTTACCAACGACAACATGCCACTCGCCAAAAACATATGCCAGTAAATTATCAACAGGTTCCCCCTCAGGGGTACGCAGGGAGACCACCCCCGCCACCTCCCGGACACTACCAACCCGTAAACCCCCAGCCGTACGCGCAGCATCCGCCAACCGGTCAACGGCAAGGATACATGCAGCCCCCATACCAACAGCCGGCGGCAGCATCTCCCCCTTACAGCAGAAGTGCAATGCTCCAGCAGTTCCAGCGACCTGCATCCAATGGTGTACCTCCTTACCCGCAAAGACGGGCCTCCCCTGCACAAACTCCAACCCAACCATACCCCCATCGTACACCCCAAGTCGCATACCATCAACCTATCCATCAGCCACAGCTTAACCACGCTGCTACGGCTCAGAGAATGCCGCAGTCACCACATGGTTATAATCAATCACCACAGCGAACATCTTACCTAAACTCACCAACTGGTCATCCTGCCCAGCCACGGTACTTCCAGCAGCAGACACCACAACCCATGCCTTACGCGAACTACCCCCCGGGCCAGGCGAGCCAGATACACTCTCCATATGCAAAGGCTTCTCCAGGTATACCATATCCCCGGTCAGCCGCTGAACAGGCGGCGATCATGGACCGGAACAAAATGCAACTGCTAGACGGTCGCGCTCAAGCCGTTGCCTCACCTCAGCCAATGCAGCCCAACGGCCAGCCAAATGGGGTTCCCATGGCTACCCCTGGACCATCAAAGTAGATCTTACAAGCTGGTGCAAAGTTTACACTTTGATGGCCTCAATAAGGTTGCTCTATCTTCCACCCTATCTTTCCTACCCCTGGCAGTTAGGCCTTCCTGTAAATTTAAGCTTGCAGGGAAAAAGATACCTACCGACAACCACGTCCCTATTCGCCAATGTATCAACAGACCATCTATGCCTCGTTCACCCCCTATCCTGCTTTGTCTATCCTTCCATCTCTCTTCTACCTTAATTATCCGAGTAGATCACTCGTTGTCCTTTTTCTGCTTTATGTTCTTTTATTTTGCACTGGTGCATGGAGGTATTCAAAAAGGATCTTTAATCAGTCCAGTCTATGGGCTTTTCCACACACACTCACACATAAATAAAAGGAAAGCAAAGGTTGAGAACAACAAAGGATCATCCAAGGGCTTGCTTGATTGTTACTTATGCTAAATGGGCTGGCTGGACTATATAGTGGAATGTTCTCTGAAGATGGCTTTTGACCCGGTGTTTTCCCCCATTTGATATATGTACTTGCTTTCTTTGCCTTTTACGAGCCCTTAAATCAAGGTGAATCGACTCGTATTTACTTATGTTCTCCATGTGTATTTTGAAGGGATATGAAGTATTTCTAATTAATGCGATTAATGCAAAAGAAATATCTCAGGTTCTTCTGCTTGTCTATCTATTCGCGCAAACAAAGGCTTGCACTGTAACACTGCATAGACCTACCTCATCCCTGATAGTTTCATATAAACGACTGGTAAGAGATATGAGGCATATTCATAGTAGAAAACAAGCTGGTTAATACATAGGTAAATAAGGTAGAAAAAATACCCTTGTCTTATGGGACGAGCGGAAGTACTTCTTGCGAGGGTTGCTTGTTTAGAAACAGGGTGATGAAACTCTTAAGCCGTGCATTCAAAACAGGAGGAAGAAGGTCGCCCATAGTAAGAGAAGGATAAGATCATTATCAATTACGGCGCAGGATGAAAAGAAAGGAAGAAGCCCCCTTTTTTAAGTTCCTGAAATCATAACATCGTCAAAAACATAGAACCGTACATGAAATAGACAGACCGAAATGGTAGGAAAAAGGAGTTTTTTTTTTTTGTGAGAACCAAGAAGAAAGATGAACATGAGATATCCCAATGAATGCATCCTAGAAGTCGAACCTGCGAAGTCTAGGGACGAGGAAGGGTATAAGTAGTTGATGCTGAGGGTTTTTTTTTTTTTTTTTTGATAGAAAAGAGGAATATGAAGGCATCAAAGCAGGAGTGCTGCGATAGTCATGAAGCCGAAGTAACTGTTCGTAGGTATTAGTATTAGTAACTGGTTATCAAAGAAAGGAGATAAAAAAAGAATGACTTACATGACAGCGCACTTCCAGCCATCCTGTGGCTCAATGAGATAGTCATGGCCTGGAGGTCCGTTTGACGCCCACCAGGCAAACGAACCCGCGACAAAGGAGACGACGACAATACGTCCGAAGAATTCGGTGATGGCTCCGAAGGCGAGCAAGGGGAAGAGGATGGCGGCGAATATAGCAGCCACGGTGGAATAGAGGGGGTTCGAATGCAGTGCGCTGGCAGGGCGAGGGGCCATGGTAACCAGGTCGGATCGCTGGTCTAGTAGTTTTCTCTCGCTCTTGGTAGATGCGCCTGCAGGCGAGCGTAGGAAGGCCCTGTATGCATCGATATCATCGTCTGATGCAGCTGGGAGATTCTTGATCACTTTGGAAAAAGAGCACAGAGCCCGATCTATGAAGTTGTTAGCATTCTGAGTTGTGTGCGCGTAAGATAAGATAACTAGCGGAACATACTGTATTGGTCGGTCTTGAGAATGACCTTGTCGAGAAGGTCTGTCCGTTTATTCCGAAGGACAGAGTGGTCCTGTATCTGGTCGCGGTACTTCGCAGCCAGCTGTTTCTGCCGTGAAGAAGCACGAGAACCCGAAGCACCAGCCCGGGCAGCCTCGATATCATCAATGGTGAGCAGATCGTCTTCTAACTGGGCTATCTCCTCCTGCAAATGCCGCAGCACACGGTGGTTCAGCCGCTCGAACTTGCGGTATACATGGTGGGGTGTCTCGGGTGTAGTAGCCCATTCAAACTGTTCGGGAACTGAGACCTGGGAGCGTCGTCTGGAGGCTTCAGTTGCCGGCGCTCTATCAGAATGCTGCTGCTGCTGCTGTTGCTGCTGCTTGGTGGGAGGTGGGGGAGCCATGGAGTATGAGAGCATGCTCTTTGGCATGTAGAAAGATTCCGGGTGAGAGAAGCTCATGAAGGCCGGAGCAGCGGAAGTAGGCCCCTCGAGCAGGCTCTCTGAGTCCGTCATGTAAGAGCCGGCCATATGGGACTTTGACATGCCCTTGGTCCCCGGGATGTTGAGGTTGATAGGGTCGAACAGCATGTCTGGAGGAGTGATGGGCTGATATTCAGACTCCTTTGACGCCGACGACGACCGGCTCGGGCTGAGGTCTCTTTCTTTGTCCTTTTCTTTATCCTTGGCCGTAGAAGAAGATCCTCCCGAGACCGTCCTGAGCAGCTGGGAGAGACTGGCCTTGCGGGTATGGTCCTTTGGCCGCGGAGCCCTGGGCAGGACGGGTTCGGAGGCCTTTCTAGAATGCAACGACGGGGGCTTCATCTGCATCTGCTCGTCCAGCGGGTGATCGAGGTATGAGAAGACTGCTGCTGCCGGCTCTATGGGAGCTGCAGACGTAGATATAGGTGGTGGCGCGGGTATAGATGTTGGTATCGAGGCAGCGGGTATTGAAGTAGATATGGGCGCAGCGGTGGCCGGGAGAGCGACGGCGGGCTCGCTTGCTCTGCTGGCCGCTCGTCGCCGGGCAGCGGCAGAGGAAGACGAGGCAGCAAACTCCTTGTCCTCCTCGTACGGCGCATCCAGGGGCTCGTTGAATATGCTGTAGCCGTGGTGGTCTGGCGCCAGCTCGGCTTCTGGGATGGCATAGGAGAAGTCCAGCGACGAGCCTGACACCGCCGGCGGCGGAGGAGGAGGAGGAGGAGGCTGCAGGGGCACGATGGAGGCCTTCTTCGACTTCTTGCTCTTCCCCGGCGCCATCTTATAGATCGTACAGCCGCCTAGGCCGGGGATATCTGGTTATAGATCTGGGATATAGGGCGGTACAGCCCGCCGTCTAGTAAACAACTAGTTATAGCCGCCGCGGTCAAATTTGGCTGGCAGCGTCTCACAAAGCTGGTCACGGCGAAGTAGAAGCAGCCACGAGCAGGCGAAAGACCAAGGCAGCGTCAAGTCAGGCGATGACAGGACGGCAGCAGGCAGGGCAGGCGTAAGCAGATGTCACTCTTGAAGATAATTTATTCCTTTCGCTGACGGCAGGTTAAGCGCAGTGATAGCTGAGATGCGAGTCGACGTGCGGTTTTGTTCTACCGTGAAGCGGCCAGCACTTGGTAGATATATAGACGGCCAGCAGACAGACAGACAGACAATAGTCACTCGATAAATAGACGATAGACGACGAGGTTAATATATTCTATCCAACCTGGCCAGGTTCAATAGTGCGATGAAACACCCCTGGGCCCGATCGACACGGTTAGATGGCGGGCATGCGGGCGTCTCATGGAGGGCTGCGACTCTGCCCTTGTGTGCGATGACGACGGATAGAAAAGACGAGCAGAAAAAGAAAAGAAGACGAAGACGAGAAGAAGAAGAAGAAGAAGAAGAAGAAGACGGAGAGAAGAAGCAAATACTGAAAGCGCTGCCAATGACCTGGGGATGTCAAACGACCAGCCTTGATGCCGTGAGACCAACGCAGCCAGCCAGCCAGACAGCCAACAAGAGATGAAACAAGAACAGCAGAAGTCGAGATACCGCTCATCTCGAGGGATCTGGACCGAGTCAAACTACATATCTACAGTGTGTGGGAGTATCCTCGGCTTCACGGCTTCAGGGCTTTCTCTCATGGATGCGGATTCAGCTTCAAGTCCCATGCCGGCCAGTGACTTGTCACATCAGATGAAAAGGTTTCATCTATCGACTCTCTCTCGCTAGTTCAAACGGAGGGCCGTATAACGAAGAGCGAGGGAGTGAGTGACCTTACTCTCCCTTACTTCCCCAGGATCAAGGTGATTTCTACCCAAGCCTGTCCGGGGCAGGAGGACGATGATTCGCCTGGGGGCCAGCCAGAGGCAAGTTAGCTGCTTCGGACCCTTGGACATGCCCATGCTCTGTGGCTTGCTTAGTGACTTCTGCACTGTTACTAACCATCATCGAAAGTAGATTCTGCTGCGTCCATCATCTGCTTATCATATGGAAGTCATCTGGAGCGGTGTCTATCAATACGGTGGCAGCCAGGGATGCAGGGTCAGGACGGAGTACAAACAGGCAGATACAGACCGGAAGGGATACAGATATACAGCAAAAGGGAATGCTACTCAAAGACCCAAAGGATCAATATTGATGGTGAAACATCAGTCCGTCGGTTGACGGCCTTAGGACGGATATCACGAAGTACAGAGACACACAACCGTCCAACTCTGAGGGATAAGAAGAAGGGATCCAACTTTTCTACAGAGCACTGGGCTATTATTAACTTGATGGGCAGCCTGCACGCAGACGATCAAGGGCAAAGTCTGCCGTCCTTCGTCCTCCTGCGACCCCGGCCAGCGAATGGCAGTCTGATATTGGCCCGTATTACACAGACAGAGGCGCTGGCAGTGGCTTTTCTTTGCTTCTTCCTCTGCTCTGGCACTGGCGCTCCTCGCTGTCAAGAAATATCCGACCAGATCAGTCGGCTTGACGGAGGTTGTTTATTATCATCATTAGCATTTACTATTATTATTGTGGTGGATGCGAGTGACTATCGAGATGGCCGAGAAAAAGCAACGACGGCCAAATCCAAAGCCACGGAAAATCGAATCCACGACTTACCCGCAATTCTTCCCTGCAGAAAGAGCCAAACCAGCCAACGGATTTGCTTCTAATTAATATTTTCATTTGCTTCCAGCTGTCCGTCAGCTCGATCAATTAGAAGAGGAAGAATAGACAGCGGGAGCCTGTGGTGGCCCAACCTGCGCTGCTACCAAAGCATACGCGCTGCCCGACCGCAAGCTGCCACCGGCGAAGACGAAGGCAACAAAGACGAAGGATAAGAAGAAAGGCAGATGCAGATGCAGTTGCAGATGGTCAGGCTTCGGCTGCTACGCCCTCGTCTGTTCCTGTCTCCAGCTGCCGTGGCTGCTCGACATTGGACCCCAAGCAGACGGCCACTCAGCACGCAGCATGTCCAGTCAGCGACCAGCAGCATCGCCGGTGATGCCAAACCGTTCGTGCCGTTGCGGAAGCAGTTGAAGGACGAGACGAAGGCGAAACGGCTGCAGGAAAAGGGAAAGAAAAAGTCGAGGGGCGCGAGCACGCAGGTTGAAGGATGGGAGTTGACAGTCGGCATTGAGGTCCACGCCCAGCTGGATACGGACTCCAAGCTGTTTTCCAGTGAGTTAATAGCTATAAAGAAGTGCTAGCAGAAGAGAGAGGAAAAATAAAAAATGAAGGGCGATGAACTGACTGTGTAGGGGCTTCTGCTGCTCAAGAGGATGCGCCGAATGCCAACGTTGCCCTGTTCGACCTCGCGTTCCCCGGCAGTCAACCAGTCAGTATTAGCTTATTTACTCTGCATTTGTTTTATTGATGTATGTCATGCCTGACTTTACAAATGACAGTCCTTCCAGATAGCAACGTTGATACCGGCCCTGCGAGCTGCCATTGCGTTTGGCTGTGAGATACAGAGCGTGAGTCACTTTGACCGCAAGCATTACTTCTACCAGGACCAGCCGGCCGGATATCAGATCACGCAGTACTACGGTAGGCTTATTACTTCTCCTTGATGGATGGCAGAACAATACTGGTAGAGAAGATGGATAGCTGATATTACTGCCAGAACCGTATGCAAAGGCAGGCACACTCTGGCTGTATCCTCACGATGGAATAGCCCCCGAAGACGGCGAGGCGGTGCGAGTCGGGATCAAACAGATACAGATGGAACAGGACACGGCGAAGTCGCAGGAGCTGCCCTCACACGCAGTGTTGCTAGACTTCAACCGCGTGTCTCGCCCGCTGATCGAGATTATTACGCTGCCGGAGATACACTCGCCAGCCACGGCGGCCGCCTGCGTACGAAAGATCCAGGCCATCCTGCAGTCCTGCGGTGCAGTCAACACAGGCATGGAAATGGGCGGTCTACGTGCCGATGTCAACGTATCTGTCAGACGGACAGGAGACACAAACACAGCTGAATTGGGCCAGCGGACGGAGATCAAGAACCTGAGCAGTTTCAAGGCAGTCGAGGACGCTGTCGTGGCCGAGCGAGACCGCCAGATCGCGGTGCTGAAAGGCGGAGGGAAGATCGACGGCGAGACCCGCGGCTGGACGATCGGGAGCATAGAAACTAGGAGGCTACGGGAGAAAGAAGGGTCAGTGGATTATCGATACATGCCGGACCCAGACATTGCGCCGGTAGTGGTAGGGGAGCAGCTGGTCGAGGCGCTGCGGACGAGCATGCCGCCGTCGCCGGACGAGCTGCTGCGGATGCTGACGGAGGAGCCGCAGTACATGCTGACAATGGAGGATGCAAAGCCGCTGCTCGAGCTCGACGACTGTGCCCGGCTAGAGTATTATCTTGATGCGGTCGACGAGCTATACTTGCTCCAAAAGGCCGACGTCAACAACAACAACAACAACAACAACAACGGCGCAAAATCCACGGCAACGGGCAAGACGGTAGGCAACTGGGTGCTGCACGAGCTCGGAGGCCTGTTCAGCCGGGCAGACGCAAGCTGGGACAGCGAGCGAGTGCCGGCCGCGAGCCTGGCGGCGATTGTGCATCTGGTCGGGACGAGGCAGATTACGGGCAGCACGGCCAAAACGCTGCTGGCGACGGTCTTTGCGGGCGAGCACGGCGGGCGGACGGTGCAGCAGATGGTCGAGCAGGACGGCTTGCTGCTGCGTCCGCTGTCGCAGGAGGAGTACCTGGCGATGGCGCGGACTGTGATGGCCCAGCACCCGCAGATGGTCGAGCAGATCCGGCAGGGACAGCAGGGCAAGGTCGGCTTCTTCGTCGGCCAGATCAAGCGCATGGGCGAGCAGGGTCGGGTCGAGGCCCAGCGCGCAGAGCAGGCTGTTCTCTCTCTACTCTGATATCACCGTCGTCGTGATATATATATGGATATACGGTCCTCCGCCGGCGCTGACCCCCCCGTACCAATGGCATCTAAGCCAAACATCCGCCACCACCGGAAGAAAAACCCGGAGAAAAAGAAAAAAAAAAGCAAAGACAAAGGCCGTGAGACGGGAAACGAGGCGGCCCATCGCCCTGCCCTAGCGCCTGCAGCGTCTCCTCTTCTCTCCAAAACATGTACTTAGGGGAATGCGTCGCCCCTAAGAGCATCTTCAGCCGGCGAGAAGGCACAGCGCAACCAACCACCTGCTGCGCTGCTCCCCTTGATCCCGGAGACGAGGACAGACGAGACAGACAGAGACTGAGCCCGCAAGCCCTTCTACGCCCTTCTCTTGATTTTTTTCCTGTTCGGTGGGCCGCCGAGAGTATCCGGTTCTCGTCTATATAAAGAAGCCAGCGCCTGCGATCTGGACGACTGCGAGCAGCAACACACATCAAGCGGACAGCCAGACTGCAGACGACACACGGACAGCCAGCAAAGATGACTTCCCCTACCACGACCATCACGCAGAAGTTCCTCTCCCGGCCGCAGGAGCTGGGCGTCGTCGCCGTGGGCTTTTCCGACGGCCAGGTAGGTCCCCAACTCTCTCCCCGGGATAATTCAGTGAGTGTGACCTTGGACTGACAGAAAATGACACAGCCCAAAGCCGGTGTAGATGCGGGCCCGACGGCGCTGCTGGAGGCCGGCTTGCTGGACCAGGTGCGCGACGAGCTCGGCTACAAGGTCGACTTCGACAGCAAAGTGCACGACTACGCCGACCTGAAGCCCGCCGAGAGCGAGGACCCGCGATACCGCAACATGATCAAGCCCCGGACCGTCTCTGCGGTGACCCGGCGGCTGAGCGAGCAGGTCTACGAGCACGCCCGCGACGGCAAGATGGTGCTGACGCTGGGCGGCGACCACTCGATCGCGATCGGCACCGTCTCGGGCACCGCCAGGGCCATCCGCGAGCGCCTCGGACGTGAGATGGCGGTGATCTGGGTCGACGCCCACGCTGACCTGAACCGCCCAGAGGAGAGCGAGAGCGGCAACGTCCACGGCATGCCGGTGTCGTTCCTGACGGGACTGGCCAAGGACGAGCGCGAGGACGTCTTCGGCTGGCTGACCAAGGACCACTTGATCAGCACCAGGAAGCTGGTCTATATTGCCCTGCGAGACGTCGACCGTGCCGAGAAGCAGACGCTGCGCGAGCACGGCATCAAGGCCTTTAGCATGCACGACGTCGACCGGTCAGTCACTCCTCCCTGCTTCCTCCTCCTCCAACAACAACAACAACAACGATCCTTTTGCTAACTGACCTGCAGCCACGGCATCGGCCGCGTCGTCGAGATGGCCCTCGCCCACATCGGCAACGACACCCCTATCCATCTGTCCTTCGACGTCGACGCCCTCGACCCCCAGTGGGCGCCCAGCACCGGCACGCCCGTCCGCGGCGGCCTGACCCTGCGCGAGGGCGACTTCATCGCCGAGTGCATCCACGCCACCGGCAACCTGATCGCCATGGACCTGGTCGAGGTCAACCCCAGCCTGGCCTCGATGGGCGCCAGCGAGACCGTCCGCGCCGGCTGCTCGCTCGTCCGCTGCGCCCTGGGCGACACCCTGCTCTAGCCTGTATGATTCACGACGAGACGATATAGATAATACTCAATACACCAGTAGAATACATCTAGCTTTCTCCATTGACATTCCCCGTCTATAAGTAACCTCCGTAGCCAGTCTCCATACGGAGTAGTATGAGATGAGCTGAAACCCGTTGGCCTGGTGATGGCGGTGGCCGGCGGTGGCTGGGC